TTTTGGGAATTGGGATTTTGGGAATTGGGAATTGGGAATTTGGGAATTGGGGTTTGGGAATTGGGAATTTGGGAATTGGGATTTTGGGATTTGGGATTTTGGGATTTGGGATTTTGGGAATTGGGATTTTGGGAATTGGGATTTTGGGGGTCGGGAATTGGGATTTTGGGAATTGGGAGTTGGGATTTTGGGATTTGGGATTTTGGGATTTGGGGTTTGGGAATCGGGAATTTGGGAATTGGGGTTTTGGGAATTGGGAATTGGGATTTTGGGATTTGGGATTTTGGGAATTGGGATTTTGGGTTTGGGATTTTGGGTTTGGGATTTTGGGAATTGGGAATTGGGATTTTGGGATTTGGGATTTTGGGAATTGGGAATTTGGGTTTGGGATTTTGGGTTTGGGATTTTGGGAATTGGGAATTGGGAATTGGGGATTTGGGAATTGGGATTTTGGGATTTGGGATTTTGGGATTTGGGATTTTGGGAATTGGGATTTTGGGAATTGGGATTTTGGGGGTTTGGGAATTGGGATTTTGGGAATTGGGATTTTGGGAATTGGGATTTTGGGATTTTGGGGTTTTGGGAATTGGGGTTTTGGGAATTGGGATTTTGGGAATTGAGATTTTGGGAATTGGGAATTGGGATTTTGGGGGTTGGGAATTGTTGGGATTTAGGATTCTGGGATTTGTGATTTTGGGAGTTGCTGGGATTTGGAATTTCAGGATTCTGGGATTCAGGGCTTGGAATTTGGGAGTCGGGATCTTGGATTTGTCGGGATTTGGGGGGCTGGGATCTGGGAGCGAATCTCCCCCAAATCCCATTTCCCATCCCCAAATCCCATTTCCCATCCCCAAATCCCATTTCCCATCCCCAAATCCCATTTTTCCCACCCCCAAATCCCATTTTCCCGCCCCCAATCCCATTTTTCCATCCCCCAATCCCATTTCCCATCCCCCAATCCCATTTTTCCATCCCCAATCCCATTTTTCCATCCCCAATCCCATTTTTCCCGGCCCATTCCCGTTTTTCCCGGCTCACCATCAGGGTATCCTTTGGGAACAGGTTCCTGCTGGGGCTCCGGCCGCTGCCCCCGGCCCCAAATCCCATTTCCCATCCCCCCAAATCCCATTTCCCATCCCCCAATCCCATTTTTCCATCCCCAATCCCATTTTTCCCGGCCCATTCCCGTTTTTCCCGGCTCACCATCAGGGTATCCTTTGGGAACAGGTTCCTGCTGGGGCTCCGGCCGCTGCCCCCGGCCCCGTTTGGCTCCTGCGGCGCCGCCCCCCTCCGGAACCAGCTGGAGATGGCCCAGATGATGAAAATCCTGCCGGGAACGCCGCCAAATTCCGTCGGAATTCCCAAAAAATCCAAAAAATCCCCGCCCCCTTTTTTTGGGGGGGATTTTTATTCCCGTTTTTTGGGGGTTTTTTTTTTTCAGCTTTTTTTTCCCTTTTTTTTTTGAGTTTTTCCTCCCAAAATTCCTATTTTTTTTTTTGACCCGAATTTCCTCCTCTTTTCCACGGGTTTGCCTTCCCCTTCCCAAAAATCCCATTTTTTCATGGAATTCCTCTCCCAAAATTCCTCTTTTCCCCCTTTTCCAAGGATTTTTTTCCACACCCCCCCCCCAAAATTCTCCCCCAGAAGTTTCTGCTTTTCCACGGATTTCTCCTTCCCAAAAATCCCGTTTTTTTATGGAATTCCCCTCCCAGAATTCCTCTTTTTTTTCCGTGGATTTGTGTTCTCCTTCCCAAAAATCCCATTTTTTATGGAATTCCCCTCCCAGAATTCCTCTTTTTCCCCACGGATTTCTTCCCTTCCCCAAAATCCTTTTTTTTTTTTTTTTTTTTCCCCCCTGGGATTTTCCCCTTCCCAAAAATTCCCCCCCGGATTTCTGGGAATGCCGGAATTCCCCCTTTTCCCGCGGAGAATTCCCGGTTTTTTCCGGGTGACTCCCAAGGATTCCCCTCCCCCCTCCCGGCCCGGATCCGACCTTTGGACCCCGGGAAACCGGGAAGGAGCTCGGGAATCCCGGGAATTCCGGGAATTCCGGGAATTCCGGGAATTCGGGAAGGGTGAGGGAGCCTTGGGGGGATCCCGATCCCGATCCCAGAGTCTGGGGTTCCAGGAGGATCCCGGGGTGATCCCGATCCTGATCCTGATCCC